TAGCTGGGATTAGGGGTGCGTGCCACCACACTCAGCTAATTTTTGTATTTTTTTACTAGAGATGGGGTTTCACCATGTTGGGCAGGCTGGTCTCAAACTCCTGACTGCAAATGATCCACCCGCCTCGGCCTCCCAAAGTCCTGGGATTACAGCCGTGCCCGGCCTCCCCATAGTCTTTCATGTGCATTTCTGCCCCACAGTGGCTGGTTCATTGCAGTCCAGGAGGAATAATTCTAGTGTCCCCTGGAATCTGTGCACACTTGGCAGCATCAGAGGTTTGAAATCCTGAATCCTGACATTCACAAAATCCTGCATGTAACTTTGGCTTTAATCCTGTCACCTCCACCATTGGACCGTGAGCACCTCTGGCAGGGTCCTTGACAGTATCCTGCAGTGGGGAAGGGGTTCTGGGGCATGAGTGCCAGGTGAGCACCAGGAGCCCGGAGAGGTACAGCTGGTTCTGTGTTGGGCTCCTTCCTAGTGGAAGCTGAGCAGGCTTCATCTCTTGTCACATGCCACCAGCAAACAGGCATTGCTTGCTTGCCTCTGTGTGTCCAGAGCACCTTTTCCATACAGCATGGGCTTCTGGGTGCTATGGGAACCTGAGAACTCTGCCCTCTCTTCCTTCATATCTTAATGTCCGGAGCTGTTATATAGATAAGACACACACAGTGGTACCATGGCCCTCTGGGAGCCAGTCCCTAAGTCTGACACCAGCTGGGAAGAGGCCTTGGACATCTCTTAAACTATGCTCTGCAGAACATTCCATGGGTCTTATGCACAGAAAGCCTTCCAAGTTCAAATCAGGTTGGGTCTTTACACTGTTTTCCGCAGTTCAAGGTGTCTTAAGCTTCTGATGTTGAAGATGGTAATAATAATGCTATTATATAATAGCTGACATTTATCATGGGCTTACTGTATGCCGAGTACTATGGCACAGGTATTAGGTGTATTGTTTTTATTTAATACTCTCAACACCTAAGGCTTATTGAAATGAAAGTAATTCGTTCATAGTCCAGGCTCTCCAGAAGAAACCGTGAGGAGCAGATAAAGATGGAAAGTAGAGAATTAACTACCGATAGTCATACTTGACTTAGAGCAATGCTTCTGAAACTTTAAAGGGCAAGTGCATCATCTGGAATCTTGTTTAAAAACACATTTTTGCTCAATAGGTATTGGGTGAGGCCTGAAGTGTATGGCATGTCTAATAGCAGTGGGCTGCAGACCAGGCTATGAAGAGGAAGCCATTATCGCACCTGTATTTTTTTTTCTTCTGCACTTGAAGTGGAATACATTCATTCATTCATTGACTCACTCATTCATTCACTATCATTTGTAGAGGCAGTCTCGTAGTAGAGAACACAAGCTGTGACATTTGTCCCCGGGTTCCAGTTCTGGTTCTGCACTTTATTAAATGGATGATTTCTCTGAGTCTTGGTTGCCCGTCTGTAAAATGAGAGTGAAATTCCTGTTGTTGTTGTTGTTGTTGTTGTTGTTGTGAGACAGAGTGTGACTCTTTCACCCAGGCTGCAGTGGAGTGGAGCGATCTGGGTTCACTGCAACGTCCACTTCCCAAGTTCAAGCAATTCGTCAGCCTCAGCCTCCTCAGTAGCTGGGACTACAGGTGTACCAGCCCACATCTGGCTAGTTTGTTTGTGTTTTTAGTAGAGACGGGGTTTCACCATGTTGGCCAGGCTGGTCTCGACCTCCTGACCTCAAGTGACCCGCGCGCCTTGGCCTCCCCAACTGCTGGAATTACAGGCATGAGCTACCACACCCAGCCGAAATTTACATTTTTTAGCATCGTTGTGAATATCAAATGCAATAAAATGCGGCAAAAGTCTTTTCCCATGACCTTAGGGCATGGTGCACATTTAGTAAATGGCTGTGACTTGGGAGATTATTTTATTACTCATTTTTTTATTCATTTCCAACAAGATTCTCATGGCTCCCAGTAAGTTTGTTTTAATATTTATTTCTTACTTATTTCAGCAGAGACTTCCCAGTGACTCCAATGGTGGTAGCAATGGGCCCCAGTTATCCTCAGGAAGCAGAGGAACTGGCATAGACCAAGAGACGTGATTTCTAATCGTTTCAGCAAAAAGTAGGAGGAAATTGATGACGAGACAGATACAAGGGATGAACTATGGGAACCATTTGGCAAATGACTCCACCAGGAAAGGGAAGTGAGAAATGTGTGTGAGTGGAAGAGAGAGCGAGCGAGCGAGAAACTGGAACGGGGTAAAATGTCAACAGATCGCAAGCTGTTAATTATCTGGAGAGAACTAAATATTATGTAGGCAATTATCGACAGGCGTCTGAAAGCAACAATAGGAGAATTTGGTCCTCAGCCAACTTCCATCTCCCTTTCGAGAAGGACTAGGGGGATGGGCTTTAGCATTCAGAGCAGGCATTTCACACAGAGGGAGAGCAAGGGGCCCGGGCCCCTAGGAAGGGGGATAGGCAGGGGTCCCCCCGCCCCACCCTTCCAGACAATCCATCAGGATCCTTTGCCAAGCACACAACGCTTGCCTTTGAAAGGCGGCTTTGCCCAAAAGCTCTGGGCCTGGAAACCTCAGCCCCCTCCTCATCCACCCTCCCTCCCCTAAGATGTCATCTTTTGAGACGATTTCATGTGGAAGCATCGCTAAGTAAATTCGCTAAATGCCTATTCATCCCCGTCAGATGGGGACTCGGTGAAGCGGTAAATGTGAAAATGGCCCCAGCTCACAGCCCTGAAAGGCGCTTTCTGGGGTTGCCAAATGGAACTGCAGCCGCTGACCCTGGGAGGCCTGAGGCTTCACGAGAAGGGGGCCCAGGAGCCCCGGCCCGGCCCCTTGAATCCTCCCACTAAGGGTGCCTGAGAGGCCTTATTTATTATTCCAACTGCCGGGGACTCATTCAGAGGTTAACTTGTCCCGCATTCATCAGGACAACAATAATGAACTGTCGCAGAGAGTGGTGAGGGGGTTGGTAAATAAGAGCTGTTAAAACGCAGAGTTAGAATGGGCCTCTTTATGGTTTGGAGAGAAACATTGCTTAAATTTTTTTTATAGGCCGATTTAGTTTCCACCTCTGCCAGTGACTTATTAAAGAGGCCCTGTCTCACGAGCTACAGGTAACAGAGTCGGAGGCACCAGTGGACTTTACCTTGGCATGCACAATGGGGTTTAACCACGCGGGAGATGCCCCATTGTACGGCCACGTGGGGTTAGCCCTTTGCAAACATCCCTGGGTTCACCTCTGTGCCCATCAGCAAGGTTTAGCTTTCCATGTGTGCGCTGTATTCAACTCCCTGCAGACACACGGCGCCTGCCGCTGCTAGAATGGCTGGTTTTGAATTGGTGTTTATTTCAGTAATAGGATGGGACATGAGCAGCGCTCATTTTCACTGCAGCATCTCTTAACTGCTTTGTGCCCCCTCCGCTGGAATTATGAGTTGGTCAACATGAGTCATCCAATGAGAGAACAGGGGCTTGGAGTGGCGAGACTGTGGAGGTGCAGGGAAATGAAGGAGGAGGGTGAGCAGTAGGGGCAGCTCAGACCAAACAGTTGGGAGGCAGATAGAGCAAGTGCGTGCATTGATTGTACACCTACTGTGTGCCCTTAAAATCTACCCAGTTGTCCATTCAGTATATATGCATGATGGACCTACTAGGTGCTGGGCATGTTTAATTCTCAACCTAGGTGTCTTCAGAGCAAGCTACCATTCAGTGAGGTTAAATGACATCCTTGGACACACAGCTGCTGACTCAGTCATGGAGCTGGGATCTGTCCCCAGATCTTTCTCTTTCTGCCCAAGCATTGCTTTCTAAGGCACTGTCCTGCTTCTCAAAGGTCTAGCTTCTATTATAACCCCAGCGATGTTTTTTTCTTTTTAATCTTTCTGCCCTCTTCTCTGTTCCTCCCATTTGAAACAATAGTTAACGCTTTCTTTCGAAGTAAAAATTCCGAAGCAGAGAAAGCTGGTGATAAAGGAGCTGTCACATCAGCACCATTTACCTGTTTGGGTTTATTCAGCAGAAGAGGCGACTGCGTTTCTGGCAGATGGAGACCCGTGTGACTGCCTTTTAAAACACTGTCACAGCTGTATGCGCAGGCTGATTAGCTGTGACTACACTGCTAGTGCCGAGATTGATGGCGATAAATTTGGGATAACAATGCTGGGAACGATGTCTCTCATTTGTATTGCACTTCATATTTTTTAAAGCTCTCTCATTCAGTAGCCCGTGGTTATCGAGGACTTGGTATCCATCCATTCATTGATGCATTCATTGCTCAAAGTGCATTTGAAGGAGTCAGTTTGAACACACATCACTTTGATTCATTTATTTATTCAACAAACATTAATATAGCTCCTACTGTATGCCGGTGTTGAAAAAATCCAGCTGGGCTCTGTCCTCATGGAGCTTACATTCTAATGAAAGCAAGGTCAATGCTTTCAAGTGGTTATACAATAGTGAATTATTATAAACAGAGTGATGTAATAAAGGTGGGGAGAGAAGGGGAGGCAGGTACTACTTTAGGTTAAGGGGTCGGAAAAGGTCTTTCTGAAGAGGTGGTATTTGAAAGGAGACCTGACGACAAGACCAAGCCAGCAATACTGGGAGAAATTTCCCAGGCAAGCAGATGCAAAGGTCCTGAGGTTGCTGTATATTTAGCTTTGGGCCGCACACTGATGACTTGCTGTTGCCAAGCCCAATGCCGTGCACTGGAGATTCCCAAACATGTAGAGCACTCCACTTGCCCTCAAAGAGTCTCCAATATATTGGAGTATAGAGGAGAGAAATGCACAAACAGCCCCTTTTAACATAGTGTGACAAGAGTCAGTGACTGTGACATAAAAACGGCAATTTAAAGAGGATGCCTTATCAACCCGTGTGCAAGTGATCAGAGAAGGTGCTTCGAGCAGACTGACATAATCGGTGAAACTGGGTTTCTTTGACGAAGATAGTACCCACGGTCTCTGGCCTGACTCTCCCCTTGGTTTGTTTCCACAGGACAAATGACCAGCTGGTGGCGTTTCTCTCCCGATACCGAGATATGAATTTCTTGAAGTCACACGGCCGGGACAATGCAAGGTAACACCTCAACCCCCTACCCCTCATGCCAAATGGAAGCAAAAACCTGAGCGATCATTTGGGGAATTTTCTAGGCTGGTTTCATGCAACCACAGAAAAGTTGAGGGTGGGAGAAAGGCTTGGCACCAGCTGTCCTTTGCCATGTCTGCGTGGGCTCTGAAGTAGTCCCTCTTGTCAGCCAAGGACAAAAATAACCATAGATGTTTCTCATGGTGTCACAGCCCTTTTGGTCATTTGCTCTCAAGGACTTCCACGAGTCCAATGTCTCATTGCAGTAACCCTTTCAGTAGGGCATCCACGGTTAATTCCCATTTTATTGATGGGAAGACTGAGGCCCATAATACAAGCAGTGTCCCCAGATTGTTCATTCAGCGAGTCATTCAGATACTTACCAAGCATGGGCATGTGCCAATCGCTGTTCTAGCCGCAAACAAGACCAAGCCCTTCCTCTCAGGGAATTGACCTTGCAGTGGAAGAGTGTCATAGCAGCATGGACTTGAACGCAGGGGTCCTAATCCCAGCCCCATGTCCTCCTCACTCCCTCACTGGTGCCTAACACATCAGCAGGGGTTGGAGGCACCCAGAACCCCAACCCAGATCCCTCACACCTCTCTCGCTTAAAATGAACAGTGTCAAAAAAAATAGCATCTCTCCAGTTCAGCATTGAGCTGTGCCCAAGTCTCCATGACCATCCATCAGCTGGAAGGGATAGGGTCTTGAGTGCCCCCTGTAGGTGACATCACATGATGGGATTTCCCTATTTCAATAGAAAATACCGTTAAAGACCGGGCACAGTGGCTTATGCCTGTAATCCCAGCACTGTGGGAGGCCGAGGCGGGCAGATCAGGAGGTCAGAAGTTCGAGACCAGCCTGACCAACATGGTGAAACCCTGTCTCTACTAAAAATACAAAAATTAGCCGGGTGTGGTGGCAGGCACCTGTAATCCCAACTACTCAGGAAGCTGAGACAGGAGAATCTCTTGAACCTGGGAGGCGGAGGTTGCGATGAACCAAGATCGCACCATTGTACTCCACCTTAGGCAACAGAGTGAGACTCCATCAAAAAAAAAAAAAAAAAAATTAGCCGGGTGTGGTGGCAGGCACCTGTAATCCCAGCTACTCAGGAAGCTGAGACAGGAGAATCTCTTGAACTTGGGAGGCGGAGGTTGC